AAGACTGATTTTAAACAAAACGTCTTGTCTGCTTACGCCTTAAAACATTTTTTGTACCACTTTCTTATTATGCCAAAATCTGTTATTATCCATATATTTGTATCTATCTATATCTGTTATATCCATATTGTCTAGTTACTAAGATACTGGTAAGTAAACAGTAGAATATTTTGAATTAATATTTTTTAAATATAATATTAAGTATTATGTACACGCATATATTAATTTCGATATTAATATTAAATAATCACTATTTATTTATAATACAGATATATTATATTTACATTGATTTTGTTATTCTAGATTTTGCCGATAATCTGTGTATACAGACCTAGTTCAGCTGTTTGATATGTATTAATGATGTTTCTATATTATTATATTTAAATGAAATTTACAACTTTTACTTAGGTATTTACTACTAAATATAATAATGAAATCTATAGATTAATATTCATTAGCTCACATAGTTTCAACGTTCAGACAGAATATCTAAATATACAAATTTTGTTGAAATCAAAATTGTTAAATGGCTAAGTTTATAATTTCGTCATTTTTGATGAGTTCCAGGAGCATTTGCGTGGAGATTGATTTAATAAGATGTATTGCTACCAAATGAAGTTTTTTAAGCCTAATTATTAACAATTCCTTTCCCTTCACAATACTAGCGTTGTCACATAAGCATATTTTTGAAAACCTCACGTTGTATCTCTAGTCCCTATGATGAGCGTGATTTATTAATGAATGTAAGGTTTAAGTTGAAAGGAAGCAAATATTCTCACCGTAGCTTCAGAATACATATACGCAAACATTTTTTATATATGTAGGAATATTTAACTATTTCTTAATAACAGCGATCTTAATAATCCTAACACTAGACACAAATACAAACTTGCTGTTCCAAAGTATCGTTAAAAAAAGTTAATAGATCTTTTATGCGAATGGGCATTAAATGTTATAATAAGATACTGAAGGATATTTTGGATCTATAAATATGAAAGATGTTAGTTGATCATGCACGGGCTTTTAATGTAAAATTATGTAATTTTAGATATAGTACATTTAAAACATGTGTATTTAACACATAATGTTAACAGAGATTTAAAAGAGTAACTGTTGAGTTACTAGCGGCCTTTTCTCAACACACAACCTTCTGATTTTTGCAGTATTAAAAAAAAAATGACGATTTAAAAGTGCTTGTAAACAAGTCTATTTCAATAAAGATGATTTGAATTTGAATGTTGCATAAAAATAATTTATATTATATGCTATCTTTGGATACACACACACTAGAAGCAAATGAAATTATCCGTAAAAATGTATTTATAAAGTTACGACCGCTGCCAGTCCGTCGAACGCAGGTTTCAATCCTATCAAATGATTCGTAAATTCAAAGGGGAAAAATAACCTGGTGGTTGAGCTTGGTGGTAAATAAAAATACATGAAACTGCTCATTTTGCGGGATTGTATTTATTTAATTTGTTTACAATTTTGGTTAAATAAAAATATAATAGTGGTTAATGAAAATGTAAATTTTACTATTATTGTAAATGTGAAAGTTTGTAAAGATGTTTGTATATTTGTAACCTCATCACGCCTAAATGTCTGAACGAAATTGAATGTCTGATTCATGAGTACATAATAATTTAGATTGCATAGCAACAAGTAATTTGTTGATTACCAAAGAAAAACAGCTTTAAATGTCACAAAATTTGTATAGGATTAACACGATATATATGTTATTGATTGCTAAAAGAATTATTAAGATCGATTTAGAATTGGTGACATAATTGTAAAATACTTACAAAAGTATAGACGTATCAATGACATCCTTTTTCAGAAGTCATGTAAAAATTTGTTAAAGCTGGCTAAAAATAAGTAATAGAACGAAAATAAGCCAAAATTTATGTATATCTTTATTTGCTGTAACATCAATAGGACAGCATGAGCTACGAATGAAAATCATGTGTGTTATCATTAATTCATAATTTTTTTACTGACCATATTATAAAAAAATGTGTGGTTCAATATGTGGGCTTAATATGGCATTCTCTCCCAGTAAACTTTTGGCATAACAGATATATAATTATGCTGTGAACAATGAGGAAATTGTTGTAAATAAACAGTTACAGACGTATCTGTATTGACTAACAAATTATATTATAAACTACTTTACATCATGATCATATAAATATTTGAATATATTAAACAAATATTGCTGACATATACAAATATATTATTGGTCGTGAAAAATATTCCATAATAGAATTTACGTAATCTAAAAACTCAGATTTCTACGAACAATATGTAGTGACGAGTGTATGTATTCAATCAGGCCACTAGTTCAGTTTTGTGTTTTTGCATTGTCCCAATATACCAATATTGTTTTTCTTTTATGCTATTTTTTATTAACTTTTTCAATATACATTGTCACTATTGTACTATATGTGAATATGAGTATAGTTATTTTTACTTTGAAAATGATATAAGTTTTATTTTATTCTCGAGTACTCTGAATAACTGTTTTCTATACCATTACTATGTACTTTTAGTACCAAGAAAAATCAATTAACGTAAAAAATGACAAAACATCAGTACAAGAGAAAAAGGAGCTGGAAATAATAAACTTGTACCAAGCCATATGACCAACATGGTGTCAATAGTACACTAAATTAATAATTAATTAATAATTCTCCTCTCATTGAAGATTTATGGCTATCAATGCTATATTAATAGGTTTTTTTATGCAACTTAGAATGGCAAACAAGCTAACCGCCCACCTGATGGAAAGTAGTAACCGTCGCCTATAGACATGAGCAGTACCATGGTCATAACAGAGTATATTGTTTCACCCATGATATCCCTCATGCATTGATATTCCTGAGGACACAAGTGTTATTCCTTTGTTCTTTGTAAATTCACTGCCATATTCCACCATTCAAACTGAAACACAGTCATGCAAACACAACTGCTTCATGATAAAAACACGAATGGAACAGAGGTGTCCAAGTAAACGACTTTTGTATAAAGTCTCCCTCTGGTAAAAAGGTTTTTAAGATATGGCATCTAGAAAAAGAAACTTACCAAAAAACACTTAGTTCAGTAAAAAGAAAAATAAAAAAGAGTCTTCTTTAAAAGTGTTTACCAGAAGAAGATTTTGTCTATAAGCTGTCTGCATGGGTATATCCACCCCACTCGAATTTCTGTTGTGTAGCAGCTGTGTTCACACAGTCGTGTTTTAGTTTGAGTGGTGTGATATGGCAGTGAAATTATAGAGTACGGAGGCATGAGCCCATAGGAGCAACCCACAAGAGGCGCTATGAGCATCATAGTGTATTATATTACGTCTTATCATCATTATTACAGATATTATCCATCCACTGCTGGATATAGGCCTCCCCTATAGACTGCCATAAGGAACGGTCCTGAGCCACCTGCATCCCCTGACTCTCTGCAATGCATTTGAGGTCGTCATTCTATCTATAGGAGTTCGTCCTACATGCCCGTACGGGGTTGCCACTCAAGAAAATTTCTTCTACATTGGTTGTCGGTTCTTCGAGCTATGTGATCAGCGCATTGCCATTTCAGCTTGCTTATCCTTCGGGCTATGTCTATTACTTCTTGTTGGTTCTTTTGCGGATATCCTCGTTTCGGATGGTATCACGCAAAGAAACTCCGAGCATAGCCTTTATCACAGCCGTTTAAAGTGCTATAAATGTCTATAGGCAACGGTTACCCTTCTATCAGGTAGGCTGTCGGCTTATTCGCCATTATAAGTTATATAACAATAGCTATATCTAATTTTGAATTAGATGACCTATATACCTATTATCCGAACTTGATTGTCAACTATTGAATCGCCACGTAGCCCAAAAGCCTAACTAAGACTAATTAACGATTGTTATCTAGTGACGACAACAATGAACCTTACCGTCATAGCCTTTGAAGTATACAAACGCGAATTACGTTATACGGTCAGCTATTCACTGAAGGGATTATTAGTAAATGGGACAAGCGGCCCTATAGTACCTATACTCTCTCGCACAAAGATATGGTTTTACTTTAATTAATAAAAAAATATGACTTTATTAAGTTTTTTCTTATACTTGGCATATTTAGTTAACGATCTGTTTTTTATAGAAATATATTAACTAGCTATATCTTGCGGATTTGTCTGCTTAAATAAGGACATAAAGTATCCCATTTGGTAAGTTAGGATACAATCTACCAGTGTGCCAAAATTTATTCAAATCCATTAGTAGTTTTTGTGTGATAGAGTAACAAACATCCTTACAATTATCTATATTTTGCTTCATGAGAAAAGTTACTTTTACTGTAAACATACACAACACGCATGGATTCATACATACACGTACGCATACAGACACACACACACACATACACGCAACATATACACAAAACACAAATACACGTACGTGAGTTTATATAAAAAATACATTAGGTATGTCTGTAACTATATTGACTACTACAAGTAATGGAAAGAAAACCAGTCAATATCAGCGATAATATTTGTGAAATTGAACAAATTTCTCTCACGTGATTTAGTTTAATAAGTTAAAACAATATTTTTTTTATACTAGCTGTACTAGCAATTTTATTCGTGAGAATTAGGATAAGTATTACTTTGTATAAAAGTCGCAAGCTTAAGTAGCTTCGTTCCACTCGGCTTTTTGTCGCGAAACAGCTGTGTTTGAATGGCTGTGTTTCAGTTTGAAGGGTAGAATACGGCAGTGAAATTGCACGGTATGGAGGTATGACGTCATAGTCCTCCGAAATGGTAACACGCGTGGGGCACAATGGGCATCGCGGTGCATTCTGTGAAGTCTGTGTATAGTGTTTACATATGGAATGGTTACCAGTTTCAGTTATTCCACTGTTATCATTGAATTTAACCCTATTATAGCTTAATGCCGTTTATATAGATTATTTCTATTATATAAATATATTTCAAAAAAATAATAAATAATTGTGATTTGTTTCAGGTAATTTAGGAAATCTGCTGTCGCCATTACGGTATGTCGTTGTATTATAGAATGTTAAAACCTTAAATTTATTTAAATTATATGATATTTTAAAATTGTGCTTGGGACATATGTAGTTTGCGTAAGCAGAATTTAGTTATATTTTACTTAGAGTCATAATATTTATCCCTATGTTTTTATTTTTTATTTATTTATTTACACTTAATTGCACTAAGTAAAAAGAGAAATAACAAATACAGTAAATATTAATGAGAAGTGATACAAAAGGCGGTCTTATCGCTAAGCAATCTCTTCCAGACAACCTTTGGGTAGAGAACATTGAGAAAAAGACAAAGGGTAGGTGGCGCACTATTATATAAATATTATCATATTTAATCAAATCATATCAAAATTTATTCATGGCAAACACCATGTGTATCAATGGCAAATTTTATGAATAATGTCTTGAACTGTTAAACTGCACAAGGTAACAAAAACACACATTTTTACGAGTATTTTTTGTAGCACGTAAAGTAAAAAATGACATATCTAGGCACATAATTTTGAGTCACATTAATACGACGGAATTAGGTGTCAAAATGCTAAAACCCCTTATGGGGGAAGCTTATGTTATGCAGTGTTATGGTTGACGGTTGATATGATTATTCAAGTATAAAGTTAGTATCGAGAAAACAAGAGAGTTTAATTTTAATTTTTAATGTTTTTGCTCAGTTCACATGCAGAATAATCACTTAAAAGGATGCTGTGATTTCAATTTTGCCCTGTAGGTATAATTTATTAAGTGTATACATCAAATAATGGCACAAAACATGCAAAAATATATTTGCAATGGAAAGAAGCGGATTGTGTAGAGCACTTATATAAACTGAAAAGGTATTTCGACACTTCACTACGTAGGTACTCTTTGATGTTAGATGGTATCGAATGAGATGTAGGGCAGTGTATTGGCCGGACATTATCGATTTCTTAGACTAGCGTACTCCAGTTAACCTTTACAGCTAGGTATATATTACAATCACGCGTTTCCTTTGAATGGATTTGATTGACGTTTTGATTTTGTATATTAATTGAAAAAAAACTCTACACTGTATATCATTTATTGATTTATTTATTCTTTAATACACCTAGAAAGTATAAATAGCGAACTTAACACTATATGGTATTATCTACCAGTCAACCGTAGATAGGAATAATAAAAAATGGAATTGGCAGTGCAATGAATGAATAATATTACTACTTTACATACACATACACACGCACCCATATATACATATTCTATAATAATAAATAATATCGGACGAAAAATCATTTAGTTATAAGGAAACACCAGCATCAGACAAAGCAAAGTGATTACAATTTTATGCATTCTAAATAAAAAGAACGTAGCTTATACTAGAATGCCAATTTGGTTGGAGCAGATCTAATGTCAAAGGGTAAAGCATTCCAGTACTTGCTAGCCTGGATAGCGAAAGAATTAGAGAAAAAGTCAGTGGAAAGAATTAGAGGAAAATTAGGGGCAGGGACAGGGAGCAGGAGATTTCTAGAAGACCGAAGACAATATATATAATTTTATTTATAAAGTTACTAGCTATTGCGGCAATCGTCATTTTGCGTCCTACTTTAACATACTAGATTAACTTTTTCATATCAGAATAAAAACTTGGATCTGCCAATATACATTTACAATATATTAAAATCGGTTGAACGGTTTCGGAGATTAGCGTTAATGAAAATCGTGACACGGGAGTTTTATACATTAAGAATTTGAACTCATATTAACACACTGGGTTGTTAAGGGCAGTGCAGACTGTTAAATTATTGCGGCCATAGATTACGTACTGATAGGATACGGCAAGTTCTCTGTCTACGACCCGCAAGTACCGACCGATGGTTCTTCAAGAAGTCCTTTTATTATTATCTGTTATCTGTAATTAGTCATCGCTATTAATTACTTTATAATTATATCCATGTTTCTTCGTTAGTCATGTCATGTAATTATTTTTACATTTCCATTATATCTTTATATCAAACACGCTCTTATTAATTATTATAGTCCATTACCTAATTAATCAGGATACTTTTTAGTATGTGATATCATCAATAGAATATGTATATGAAATTAGTACTAAATAACAAGACGTGTATTTAATATGTTTATCATAAAATGGTTGTTCGTATATTGAATGTTTGTCAGGAAATTTAAGATGTTAAAGAAAATAAGTAAAATTCGTAAATAAAAAGCTTGTATATTTACGAAGAGATCCCTTTGACAATATTAATACGAGGATGTGTTTGTATGTAAGTAGCTATAAGTAGGTATTATACGTGTTAAATTGATTGGAAAGCGAAGAATTAAGTTTATCCAAACCGCCTACCCGTGGTGGGAAATAACCTATTACAATAGCAAAATATTATTATATTTTAATGTGTTACTATATTACCGGTTTAACTTACTTGTAATTTGATAAAAAAAGCTTGATTATTATTTTATTATTTATAACCGTTGCTCCAATAAGATCTCAATGGTATTTTAAAATAAATTAGCGGCCCGTCCCGGCGTCGTACGGGTGGACATTTTTAACATTTCCCTTCACTGCTTTGCTCCTATTGACCGTAGCGTGAAGAAAAGTATACTATAACCTGCCCAGGAGTATGAAGAATAATTGTACCAAGTTTCGTTAAAATCAGTTGAGTAGTTTTTGTTTCTATAACGAACATACAGACAGACAAAATTTTACTGAATGCATTTTTGGCATCAGTATAGATGACTAACACCTCCTGATAGTTATTTTGGTAATATATTTCATGTACAGAATTGACCACTCTACAGATTTATTATAAGTAGAGATAAGTGAGGAAATTTGTGAAGTTTATTTTTAGAACAATTGTTTTATAATTTATGGATATATTTTTGGGTTATTTATAAATGTAATTTCACAATTTTTATTATATAGTCGCATTTTTTTAATTGTCTTTGATAATTATTTATACAATCGACAGGCTCTTCTCCAGGGTGATCAAAACAGGAGCAAACTCTATCGATTACGTATTACTAAAACCATTGATTTTCTTTGTCGAGCAATGTATTGCCTGTTAAGGTACGACATCTGCATATAGATGCAAGAATCTGTGTTCTGAATTGAAATGTTCTTCGGAGCGATTTATTTAATTTTAAAATTAGAATACAGAGATTAATTAATAATTAATTAAAATAAATAAATAAATAAATTTTGACATGAACGAAGTTATTGTTTTTTTGTGTGGAGCAAAATGTATTTTCCTTCAGTATTTATGTGAGATAAAGCCGTAGCTTATAAAATCTTGCTCAGCATCAGTAAATTTATATCACGAACGGATAATGAAATATCCTTTTCTCGATGATTAATCGATTAATATTCCAAATAGTTTCGTGTTCGGAATATTCATCAGGAAATTACTATAATCTTCTTATCCTTATTCTCGGTAATGTATTCATGATTTTGCTTTGTATAATTCCGAAATAGTAAACAATACCGGCATAGGAAACAGATATGAATGTAATTAATCGACGAATTAAGTGATGGTTGTCAGTTTTTAGATGGGCTGTGAGCGTATTTGATATTCTGTGCTATGTATAAAATTGATATTTTATATTTTTTTATCCCTGCACAATTTAAACGTTTATATTCATGGGTATTCTTGTTTGTATTAAATTGCATGTTTTCTTTGTAAATATCATCATCATCGTAATCATCTTATCAGTCATTAATTGTTCACTATTAAAAATAGGCCTTCCCCATAGACAGCCGAAGCATAAGGAAAAATTTTTATATAAATATACATTTATTTGAATTGTTAATTTTTTTTATCTTAGAAACAAAAAAGTTTAAAAAAATACCTGGGTAAATGAATAAGCTATGAAATAAAAGGATTATGTGCTGACTAAACGTAGTGGTAGTTTCAACAAATAGGAACGATGCAGACAGAGTTCTATTTTAATGCGACCTTTGACTTGTTTCGTTGAATGTTTTAATATGCCACGTCGATATATGATACGGAGGACTGAAATGTCAGGTCGGCATTTTTGGATCGTAGGTAAGCTGTGTTTGGATCTGAAATATTATATGTATTTACAATTAGGTCACATATTGTCTAGGGAACACTGGATTTTCAATATTTTTGGCAATGTTGCATAGCAAATAATATTGCTTAAAAGACATATAAAGTAGATTTGCTTTATATATCTACCAGAGGGAAATTTTGTACAAAAGTCGATTGCTTGGGTACCTCTGTCCCATTCGTGTTTCAACCGTGAAGCAGTTGTGTTTGCATGGCTGCGTTTCGGTTTGAAGGGTGGGATATGGCGTGAATTTACTGGGTACAGAGGAATAACACGTGAGTCCTCAGGAATGGCAACGCATGGGGGGTATCATGGGCGAAACAGTATACTCTGTTATGTCCATGCTACTGCTTATGTCTATAGGCGACGGTTACCACTTTCCATCAGGTAGGCCGTCAGCTTGTTTGCCATTCTAAGTTGCATAAAAAAAAAAACTTAGAAAAATAGCCAATTTTATTATGCCAACATTAATATTAACTTAATGTATTTCTTCATTCTTCTTCTTAACGTATATTCTTTCTATATATTTAAAAAAATATAAAACAAGAAGTTTTGTTACCAGTATCTGTTTAAAATATTTGAATTTTGCAATAAAATGATTTTGCTTTGCAAAGAAAAACGGCGGTATTATAAAATTAATATGGGACCCATTTCACATAGAAGTAAATCCTACTAATTGGAGAGTAGACATTATTAATACTAAAGGGCAACACTCATACGAGTAGGTATTTACTAAATAGATAAAAATATCTGCATTATCGTTATTAATACGTATCAGTTAACTGTTCCCTACTGGACATAGGCCTCCTGTCATAAGGAAATTTTTGCCAGTAGTTGCCACGCTTGGCAAGCGGGTTAGCAACTGTAGTTAGGTTTTGGTGATGTTTTAAGAGAGCCGCTGATGTTCATCACTAGTTATTGCAATGGCTTCA